ACCCTCCACTTCGGTGACGGTCCCAGTGACTGTATTGGCAGAGGCTGACTTCCAAGTCAACCGCTGCCACTAGTGAGATTGCGCATCACAATCCAAGACACACGACGGGTGCTCCAAAAACCCGAAAATTGTCTTATCCAACTGGGCTTTCGATACACAGATCGAGTGAGTGTGCCTCCTGCATTCCTCTTCAGGTGTACATCCAAGGAGTGGATGGTGTTGTCCACGTCGTTTTCCATTGTGGATTTGTTCGCAGGGTGGCATGTATTTAGAACTTCAAGTAAATGTTCGGCCTGTTGAGAGCTACGAACTACAACGAACGTGCCATCAAGGTACCAACTTTACAGGTGCAATTTTGTATGTAAGGACGTGGTTTCGTGTGCTCCAAGTGCCCCATGTAAATGTCAGCCAGGACTGACCCAATTGGACTGCCCATGACTACGCCAGCAATCTGACGGTATAATGTTCCGTTGAATTGGAACTGTATGTTCTTGGTGCACAAACGGAGTAAAGACTTGAGATGATGTGCTGGCAACCCAACTTTGTCAGCATGAGCACCGATGATGTCTAACGTCTCCTCTAATGGGACGTTGGTGCAAAGTGAGCATACGTCATAAGAGACCACGTATTTCTACGTTTAGACCCGGTATTTTGTTGACAAACTGGAACTAATTCCGAGGGAATGCGCACTACTGATGAGTGCCAAATGGACGAAACGGCCATTTGGTGCCTGGCCAGATTGGCGGTTGACCTACCTGGCTTATAATCTAGTTGCGATGAATTGAATTATTCCCTGTAAGTTACTGTGTTCTTTGGCTTTACTTACGACCATTATATCTCACAAGGTACATAAAATCACGGTCAGAATTGGACTTGTTAAAATCATCACTCCTCACATCCTGGAGTACTGTAGCATAATTTGTGGCAGCACTGGAAAATCTGGCAGAGCAGCCACGGAAAGCACATATTTGTCGTTTACCAAATATCTGTTATGCAGAATTTCCACTTTGCACTGTCGGGAACAGTGCCAGCAACTCCATCTCGATCCATTTTGACTGAGAAGACAAAAGCATAATTTGATACTGTTGTACAATCTAATTCATGGCAATACCTATTGCAATCTACCTACACTAACGTCGCAGCAGACTTCCATTCAGGACCTTCGTAACAAAGAATTTACTAAGTGGTTAGGGCAAGATGCACGAAGAATCCATCGTCCAATTTCTTTCTAATAAGATATGCTGAACTGTGGAATCGGCTGCCAACCACAATCAGTTAATCTGAGAATGTGAGAATTCGTGACAAGCTGGGAAGCTGCATCAACCCGGACACGATTATGATCTTTTGTTCATGGGGGATTTCACCTTGCAATGTACTTAGGGAGGGCCCAGATGACGTCTAATGTGTGAAACAGAAAAATACACGCAATGTTAACACCCCTCAGTATCCACAGTATTCTTAAAGCTCGATTATACCATCTAGCCTAAGGTTAAACACAAGTATCTGAGACATTTACATTGTCAGGAACACAGCCAGACAAGCACACAACTGCATATTGCCCACGCAAGAGCGTGGCACCACAACTATATATATCCTGTGTATCAAATATGGACGCAGCTTCTCATTTGCTGGGAAATATGCCTGTTGCTATTATTCGTGTTAATACTATAACTGCGTTACTATGCATCGAGCTGACGGCCATGTAGCCAAAACTGTCGTGGATGCTACCATTCCTGGTTCTATTTGTCGCGATCTTGTGGTTTCTGCACGATCGTTTTGGCGAATAAACCAATTTTTGCCCAAGACCTCTCCACCATGCTCAAATATTGCAGTTGCGGGAAAATCCGTATCAGTTAGGTACATTTGGTTGAGGAATTTGACCGCGTTTTCCGTGTCCTGCTCAGATGAAATGTCCAACCTGCGCCATCTGGCTACGAATAGGCTCAGGCGCAAATGGCTACTTGAACATTACGTGGAAGTTCTCCAACATTTGCGGCATGGCATGCCTTAATTCGAATCACCGTGCAGTCTTTGATATTTTCACCGACCGATGATTTCCTGTGGTACATGACACCGGTCATTTTCACGGGTCGGCAGTGGTTGTTTGCGGCGTCCACTCGATCCATCGCTCGAACATTCCGAGTACTCCAGTTTTTTGATTTGGAGGTCACACAAGTCACAAATTAATATACGTGTATTCCGGACGCAAATGTGCTCGATTTACATGCAACCGAATGTTCGCTTGCTCATGTGCTTTTTGTTATGCTTTCTCCTCTATAGCATCTCAGTTTCCTTGCACTTGACATCTGTTTCATGCTGCATCCTAGCCTATGCAGTAAATGTATTGTTACTGTACGTGGAGGGACCACGTGCCCAACTGCATCCTATCGTACTGTAAGCAAAGAACGACGGTGTATTAAAATATACCGTCTCGACGATTTCTTGCTGGTGCCTGCTAGCAACGCCTCTACTTCACAGGGATGATCTAAGACATCGCGTCCTGAGGTATGCGAGTATTCGCTTCAACAAACTTGTATAGCTGCGCCAATTGAGGTGGTTCGATCCCGTCTTATGCATGGCGCCCTATAGTTCACTGCGCCGCGCCTTAGTCAAACGTGCAGGGTTGGGCTGGAGGGAACCGCGTGGTGATAAGCCTTCCACTTGGTATAGCTGATGAAATCGCTGACGTCACTTTTAGCCCCTGTCAGACTCCTGCGTCATTCTTGATGAGGACGCGAGGATGAGGAATTCTATTAGTCCCTCATACCTACAGATATGACTTGCGGCGGAAATCAGTAGAAAGACCGTGTGCAAATATGTCATGATTCATATGCCTGCCGCTTCAAATATCGAATATCAAATATCGAAAAAATATCTAAAAAAGAAAATAGCGTGAAAACGAAAGTGTTCTGTTTCCTTCTTGGTAGTGCTGTACCCCAGTTTGGTTTCCATCGTTTTCTTTAACTCAAGACGGCTGATGGCCCAACAAGAACGTCTATGGAAGCTGCGAACGCGCTGCAGATGCAATACGCCCCCATGTTTCAAAGAGTCTTGCCACCAAGCGATCTACCAAGATTTGTCTTCTGCTCACCAGGACTAACCCACATCAATTTTACCGCAGGGGCTGTATTGCAAAAGCTGACTTATCTCCGCAAACACCGCTCGCCAGGTATCGATATCATTCGTCCAGAGGCATTGGGAGCAGCAGCAAACCAACTGGCAGGACATTTAGCTCAGTTTTTCCAGCACTGCTTAGACCAGAATCAAGTTCCCGCCATGTGGAAGCTTGGAATAATAAGCCCGAGTCACAAAGGTGGAAGCAGATCTGATCCCTCCAACTACCGCCTAGTAACCCTTATTCTTATACTCTCCAAGGTCATGGAATCCATAGTTGCCGATGCACTGGTGTGCTATCTGGAAACTGCAAACTCATCACTCCTGAACAGCACGGTTTCCGTCGACAGCGGTCATGTACAACTAATTTACTAATTGAACGCAGTAGTTGGACCGAGGCAGCCGACGCTGGAGAAGGTGTTGACGTGATGTACCTGGATTTTTCCAAGGCTTTCGATCGTCTAGACCATCGGATACTACTCTCCAAGCTGCGGCATTACGGGATCGGTGACCCTCTTTTAAGCTGTATCGCCAACTATCTATTGCAACGGCAATTAGTGGTCAGAGTTCGGAGCTCTTTATCGGACCCCATACAAATCGAGTGTGGTGTGCCGCAAGGCTCAGTTCTAGGTCCACGTTTGTTTTTGGTGTTCATTAATGACCTTGCACAGGGAATCGCTTCAAACTTCCTAATGTTTGTCGACGATATCAAAATATGGCGCAGGATCCAGTAGAACGACGACCAACATGTGCTTCCGAGTGACCTAGATATGGTGTATCAATGGTCAATCCAAAATTTACTGCCATTCAACGTCAGTAAATGCAAGGTGCTTTCCATCCGACAGCAGAGCAGCTACTCATACCGACTCGGAACGAATATACTACAACATTCAACTCTCGTACGTGACTTGGGTGTCCTGGTTCAAGATGACTTGGGTAGCTCCATGCAATCCGAAAAGGCCTCGAAGACCGGGAACCAACATGTGGGGCTGTTGAGGCGGGCGTTTGGACAAATAAACGGCTCCATATTTCGACAAATGCTCAGTGAGTATGTTCGCCCCCATGTCGAATATGCGATTCAAGCCTGGCATCCATGGCTGAAACACGACCTTAATGCACTGGAGCAGCCACAACGCCGGGCATCTAAGAACGTCATTGGAATGCGCAATCTTTCCTACCAGGAGAGGCTGCGACGACTAGGATTGTACAGTGGCAGCTATCGCAGGCTACGATTATGGCTGATTATGGCATACTTTATTCTGCGAGACCCACATCATGTGTGCCGCCCTTTACTGCAACTCAGCAGCAATACAAACCTGAGGGGCCACTCATTAAAACTCGCAGAACAATACAGTTGTCTGGAGTGCCGGAGAAATTTCTTTTCCATTCGTGTCTGTCACCCGTGGAATGCTCTCCCAGAATCGGTCGTCTCTGCACCGACACTAACAATATTTAAAAGACCGTTGGACGATGCACTTAGCCACTAACACTTTGTTACTTAACACTACGTCTCCATCCTACACCTGGAGTTTACCATGGAATTATTTGTTGTTAACTGTGGGTGCTGTGAATCTAAGAGGATCGCAGGACTGCAGCGAAGCAAACGATAAGTCCTTATTTTCATATTTAAAGGATGAACTATTTTAATATCCTTATCATCATTATTGTTAAGTTGATATCCCCACCAACTATCCAACGGGACTTGTAAAGCAACGCTTCTTAACCCGTATAAATTCATTGTTCACTGCTCATATACGATATATATATATATATATATATATATGTCCATATGTTCAAATACATCAGCTCCTCCAATACCAGACCACCTAGATCTTGTATACGAACTCTATTGTGGCCTTGAACAGTTGGTATCAGTTATTTCACTCATGTTCTTGCCAGCTCCTGCGGAGATCACATGCCACTCCAGTTGGATAGATCTTCAGGCAGTACCCGATAATCCGTCAAGTCTGCACTATTCGGATCACGAAGGCGTCGGATCTTCTTTCTCACTTACCCAGCCGGCCTCATCTGACAGAGCAGGTAAGCCTGTGTGTGTGTGTGCATGTGTGTGTGGGACTAGTCTTACACCTTGCACTAGTGCCCTACAACCGGTTCCACAACTCGCTCCCCGTGATTTTGTGCTTACAGTTATCGTACACTTTCAGCACAATGTCTTTATCATCCAGGTTACCAATTACGTATGAAGTGTTTTCTCCATGTCAGTCTTGCACGGTTTCTTCGCTTTATGCATGCGTTCTGGTTGCGATGTCATTCTAATCTTTGATTCCGAATGAAATCGTCACGAAGCCTGAACTGGGATGTGAACAAGCAAACGCTACCTTCAGTTTATCTCATCTGTGCGAAGCATGCTTGCTCACGATCGACTCAGCCACTATCACCATCGCGGCCACTCCGTTCTGGCAGGATTCATATTTGCTACCAACCCTTGACTACAACAAGTCTTTATGTTATATCCGAACATTTTCGAGCATATAAATTTGCCACTGGTTAATTTGAAAACGGTTTCGTGCTTTTAGTGCACCATACTGTCTTATTTCAGCTATTCTATACATTGCGTTCAACAGGGCATCTGACAGAGCGTGTGTAGGTTATTCCTTCTGCTGTAGTACGTGGCAAGCAGATAAGGTTGCGGAGCATATACTAGGACCCAAACACTAGAAGAACACATAGCTCACGCTGACATGCAATATTGTGTTTGTACGCTCTGTTTATTGATTTCGGATGGTCAAAAACCCAAACGTTGGCTTATATTTGATTCTCAGTTTTGTTATACCTGTTAATCCTCAGACGGCTATTTGGTCAGAGTCCACATTTCGGGTTGAAGCCCGTCTAACTGGAGCAACGCTCAGTAACTCACAATTAGGTTGCTGCTACTATGAGCGTCTATTATACCAGTGAATTTCTACTGTCTATCGGTTCAATACTGGGGACTTGGTTACTTCAACGAAGGCTGCTCCGAGGCTTGCGTCCGAAATCTATTGAAATCGTCATTCTCTTCATCGAATTCATCCTCCTGTGAGATTAGGGGGCAAGCATGAATACCTACTTTCCATCACTGTTCAGGCGGTGTGTGTGTGTGTGTGCCACCGTCGTCCATAGTACACCAACTTTTATTGTATCCGTACTTCGTTGTCACACTGATGCAGCAACCCTGGTGGATATTGAAAGGAAGGTGCATTTTATCAATCACTTCAACGTTACGATAACCGCTTGCCCCAGTACGCGTCTACTACGGAATCATGAAGTGGCTTGCTTAACAATGTACGAATCGCTTAAGTTTCACTAAACCAGTCAGCACCCTCTTTACTTACCTCTCTCACTCAAACAGTTGCGTGGTTAAAGTGCTACGCATTGATGTTGCTGCAGCATATTTGTTTGTTTTCCACGCTGCTGAACCTCAGTAGGTCACATTTCGATGCCGACCAAAGGAGGATTACTGGTCCGATCATGATCAGACCCGGAGCGTGGTTCCCATATGGGGGCTGTTTTGGGGTACCGGCATTACCATCACCATCATCCACAGCAGCGATTCCTAAGTTATCTGCACTGGCGCTTTTGTGCCGCACAGTCATGATGGTCGGCGAGGTGAGAATTAATCAGAGAGCGTGAGATTGCGAATCTGGTGTGTAGCCTAAATTCCCTGAACAGATATTGAGAGTGAGACGTCCACAACTTTCCAGTAACGTCAGGCTACCTACGGGTAGTTGTCATGCAAATCTGAGTCGGTGTTGACGACACTTCATCCCTACTGCTCCCACTGATCCGCAACATCGACAGCGAAACTTCAGATAGCTTCCCAATTTGTCGGAATCAAATTCCACCATGGCACCACCACATCCTAAGCAATGCATATGTCCATTGGTGCACATAGTGTGCTGCTCGCCATCTCAATAAACCACTGAGCCGAGTCCCATGGCTCTCAGACAACTGAGCAAATTGTTAGCGTTAGTGAGCGATACCAGCACTGTCGGCTCATCACTGACAAAACTGTCGCCCCGTGCGATCGACTCCAGACAATTATCTACGAAGCTGTTCTGATAGGCTGCGGTGTAATTTGGAAAGGACACCTCGCATCTCCTGACATAGCCGAGGAGAACCCTACGCACGGATCATTTCTTAACGAACCTGAACGTCGGCCGCCACATTTGTTCGTTCTTAACTCTTCTGTGGAACAGGCTTCGAAGCCACCACTTATACTCTGTTGTCTGAATCGCGAACAATTGACTCGATCTTCTGTAAGCAGATGAACTGGTTGGCTATTTCTTTTACGCTCGCATTCTCAGCGTACACCTGCTGTTCTCCCTATTTTCATAAGGTGTGGGTTGTATCAAGTGCCAGCGGTTTGTCCAACCGTTTTACCGCCACTCGCGTTCGGTCCAATTTCGCGACCGTGGTTGCGATGCGGTGAAGCGTTGTTGCGGCATACCGGCGTACTGCTGTTTCCTTTTAAATTGAGCACCGCTCTGGAGCATAACTGTCAGTCGCAGTGGGCTCGCTTTGTCATCACAGAATGAGCCTCAAAAGCATTCGAATCAGTGAGGATACTGGATTTCGATGCACGATGAAAGGTTTACTTGCATTCTCCGAGCAATCGACTTTTTCACAGTCATATTTGATCTGCATTTCAGCGCCTACCCTGAGGTATACGTACCTGATAACGATTGATTTTTCCAAAGAAGCTAAGTGCGCTTTCTTCACTATCAACCGGTACCAAAGTAGTGATAAATTTAATTCTCGGACTATTCATCATTTACTGAGGATTGGTAGTGAGGATTTTGGCCTAATTCAACTGATTCATCATCGTCACTCCAACTCAGCAGACTTAGGGTTGTCTGGAAAAGCACTAGACGCCGGCGTTTCGACCTTCTTTGTCTCGTCAGTGGTGTGCCTCCCAGCGGACCCCTGCCGGGTTCCGGCCCCATGACTTCATTATGCCAGCAGCTTATAACACCTCGCCATGGGTGACAGCCACAGACCTGCGTCATTGATATTCGACCATGATATAAGCCCGGCTCATCATCCACTGCCATGCCAGTTACAAACTGTGCAGAAGACAATGGATAGTCTCACGAGCTAGGACTATCCGCATAGCGCCTATGTACGACATGGAAGTTGGAAGCTATACGGACAGAGTTTATATTACTGATGAGTAGTAGTGAGGATTTTGGTATAATTCAACTGATTCATCATCGTCACTCACAATCGTACATAGGCCCTATGCGGAGTATCAGGGAGGATACTGCATTTCGATGCACGATGATAGGTTTGTTTGCATGCTCCGAGCAGTCGATATTTCCGCAGTCATATTTGATCTGTATTTCAGCGCCTACTCTGAGATGTACGTATCTGGCCACGATTGATTTTTCCAAACGTGCTTTCTTCACTATCAACCGGTACCAAAGTTGTTATGAATTTAATTCTCGGACTATTCATCATTTGCTATTTATGTGCTATGATATGATGTTCCTCGCGCACCTAATGCTGGTGCTACTTCGTCCAGCGTAATGGCGTTCCCACCCTATTATTGACATGTAATTGTCAGTCGAGACATTCGTACATCCGTTAGAGAGGAGCACTGATGTGTTTTCTATCCATTACAAGTTCCCCTGGTGAGAGGAATTGGTAGGTTAAATTTAGAGTGCGTGTATAGACACACCAACTAATTAGCTGTAACAAAGGCATAGATAAATGTATATTCTCGAGTTCACATGTGGCGCACCAAAGAAGGCAAGATCCGTTTCCTGAAAGCTGATATGCGACAATTGTTGTTTGACCAAGTATACTCTTGACAAAGCATGTGTGCAGATTCATGTGATCCAAGGTGTGGGATGTGGCTGTGATACATGTTTTCATGTTGAAATAGCAAATTGTTTTGCGAATGCGAAAATGTCGATAGGCACGAATAATGATACCGATAAATATCGCAGATAAATATTGATTCGGTGATCCAAATTGTTCACGGTAAGTTGTGATGGTTTGGCCTCGAACCGATCGCTTTCACGGCTATCCGTAGTCACCCGGCTTCCATTTTCGCTCGCTTGTCATATTCAATGGCGTCAGATCTCCTTGCACAGCGTTGCATTCCTGTCCTGCAAAACATTCCGACTGTAAGTTTCTCCTTCTCAGGTGCGCACATTTTGCTCGCGATTTCGACTTTTTTTCACTCATTGATAATCCTACGTGTTGCCCAACACTTTTGTATTTCATTACATTTTCCATTTCAACAATGCTAACTGTTTCCCCACCATTTTGAACTCCACCCAGCCATATCGAATACCGCGGACCTTTCCAAACTGGAGCCGTTGCTACTCGAGATGCGTGAGCGTATCGTTCGGGGGTTGCGCATCTGCCGAAAGATGCGGCAATTTCACCTATCCATCTCCCTCCTGATGACGTTGCTAGCGCTGATGCTTCCCACGTGCTTATCACACTCCAATTTGGCCACTAACGTCGTGGGGATGTTCACTTTTGTCATAATCGGAGCCACTTTATTTGCATTGGTGTGGGGCTCGATTGTGGGTCGGACGACTGAGCGACGCGCTTTGGAAAATTCCGTCCAGACGACCAATGTTTGGCTGTCTTGTTTGCCCTCCTCTGTGTCAAATGGGCTAAAGACACCGATTACCGAGGCTGTGCCACGTGGTGATGTGCTGTGATTTGTACCCTGGATGTCGGTTCTTTCTTATTCCGGTGAAAAATCCATGACACATTTCACTCATTTCTTGTTACTTTCCTTCACATTAACCGTGATGCAAGTAGGCTCATCTTCCGTTGCTACCCAATCGTCTGTGCATTCTACCCTGTCTTAATGACTTCATCCGTTTTCACTGACCCCGTCATTTTAACTGCTTCATCTGTTCGTGTACTTTCACAGTATATGCTTGAGGAAATGTTGATTGATACAATGAGCAGTGGTTTGTCACGAGTAAAAAAGCATTTGCTTAACATTTGCCGCAGGATGGTAGAGATGAAACTATGGGGTCGAAAGATATGTGAGTTGTCTGTTTGCGCGTCTACTGAGCAGACGCGCCGCTGAATCACAGAAGTGTCAATGAGAATTGAATACAAACAACGACAAGATCACATGGCGGCAGTTACAGCTGATATACTCCGTGAGAAAATTTAAAATAAGCCTACTCACTTCTGTACCACCTCTTTAGGTCTATGTGACATAAACCGGTTTGAAGGCATGATTAATATATTCCAAAGTAGCACAGCCTAGGTTACGATTTGATGGCGGCCATGAACATTATCCAATCGTAGCCTTCTGTAGCGTCCACTGAAAACTCTTAGTGACTTCAGACTTTACTGGTAAGACTGATTACTTACACCCTTTGTAGCCCTGCGTTGGGGTGAATCTACCACCTCCAGATCGCAATTCAACCAAGGTTATTCAGCTTGGGTGGCGTATTCAATGTGATGGTTAACGCAAGAGATGGTTGTGTCAAAACTCCAGAAAGCGCTCCGCAGCAGACCAACGTGCTGGTTGCCTATTATCGCGGTTGCCCCCAACTGTTGAACAGTTATCAGTGTTAACAGTGTTGAACAGTTAAAGCCACTTGGAATGAGCTTACCAAGGTCGCGTTCCTGAGAAGTGGTTGCAATATGTATGACCCAAGCCAATATACGTAGTCATGCCTATGTCGTAACTGAATAGTGCGACATTTTTCCACCTTGTGCGGTATGGCATCTTGAGCTGACCAGTCCGAAATCATGTTGAGGTCAAGCTGGAGCCCTTCGTGGTGGTCCGGTTTCCTGATCGCTCGCCATAACTTGATATCATCCGTGAAGCATAGGGAAGTTTATGTAAACCAAGAATTTACGACGACGTAGTACCGAGCATTCGGATACACCGCATTCCATCTCAATTGCGTCGGACAGGTATTCTCGTACTCCCACCTCCACGGTTCGTTATCTGAAGTGCAAGGATTGGGGTGCCGCTCGTCTCATTTGTCGTTTGACAGCATGGGTGCTTTGCAGATTTGATGTTATCAAGACTATCCTCACAATTTCAGTGTTCTCTTGTGCGCATCCGCTGTACACCCCTAAAGATTTCAGTCGCAGTTGGTACGGCAGGTGGAGCACTCCCTTCACATTCTTGGTTGCCCTTCGCTGTGCGGTACCCAGTGCAACCAGATCGCGTTTTAACCAGGGTTGCGCGGCCTTCATCGCGTACTCCAAATGGGGCCTCACATACGCATTGAGCATTTGGGGGAAGATGGAGGAGGGTCAATCCGCCCAAACACCCTCCGTAAGAGATCGAGTTGGTTGGCGATTTTGGGCACCTTCAAGGATTGCGCCGAACAGCCGTGGTCGTCTTACATCACCACCCCAAGATCACGCTACTGTGTAGCGGTTTTCAGCATGTGGTCTCCAAGCATTTATGCGCAAATGGGATTGGGGCGTACAAGTAATGTGTTGCATTTGGCCCTGTTAAACGGAAGTAGATTAACCTTTTGACCATTCAGAAGCGCAGTCCAAGTCTATTTGCAGCATATCATCGTCCTCCTGACAAACGATTGTCTGCCACTCCTTGATGTGATTAGTAGCAAACAGGAAAGTCGACTCGATGACGCGCGAGGTCGTTCCTAAATACCGGGAATATGCGCAGCCCTAACTCTGATCCCTGTGGGACCTAGTAGTCCACGTCAATAGGATCAGAAAATGGATCCTTAACACGAATCTGAAGCCGCCGCTGAAAATAGCAATTTCCGATCCATCCAAAAACCGGGTCCCCAATTCCGTATGTACGCAGTATTTGGAGAAGGATTTGGTGGTCTAAACGGTCGAAGGCGTTAGAAAAGTCGAGGTAGATGGCATCAGTTCCGGTCCCACTGGCGGCTATTTCGGTTCAACTGCCACGCGTAATCAGCAGATTGGTAGTACGTGATCGATGCTGAGGGAATCCGTGTTGTTCTTGTGCTATGATGTTAAACCATTCAAAGTAGCCCATTAGAGCCTCAGCTATGATTGACTCCATCACTTTTGTGAACACCGAGATGAGAACCACCGGTAGATTGTTGGCGGGCTCCGAACGGCTATCACCCTTGAAAATTGTGGTGATGATGCTTCCACATGTTGGGGACCTGCTATTCATCCAGGCATCTTTGGAAAAATCGAGCTAATGACTCAGCTATCCTCGTAGCTGTCACCTGAAGTGCTTTTTGGGAATGTCGTCAACACCGGAGGAACCATGAGTGCGCAGCGATATTAGCTTCCACAAAACCGTCGCTGGACTAAAATTGATGTGTGTGAATATCGGCGTTTTGGGAAATGGAACACGTATGTGACAAATGCTGGTGGCGCATCGAAATATTGAAGCATATTGCAGCTGTAGAACGTTGGCTGCATTCTCGGTAGTTTGAACATGTCCATTTGCTGAGGTAAATGGGAGAACGCCACGCTTCATATTCCGAAGGATATTCGCATGTCCGTACAGAAGCTTGTTATTAGCACAAAACGTTTCTGCTGGGCTCTGCTGGTGAACTAATTTGTCCTCGCGTACAAGTGTGGTACAGTGATTACGATGCACTACATACTAGGTCCAGTTTTCAGGGTTAGGGTTCACCCTATACGCATGCCACGCTGCGTCTCTTACCACCATGCATTTTTGGGTTCTGCTCCTAATGATTAATGGTGCCCTTGTAGAACGAATGGGTCAGTTTACAGATGCGGATTGAATCAGGTCGGTGAAATCCGTCCATGCAGTATCAATGGAGCAATTGTCCGAACAATCCCAAATGGTATCCCTAACAAGTTTTGTGAGTGTGTTCTAGTGCGTGATTGTTCGGAACAAGTCACTGTGTTCTTGTGCAAGTTCCGCATAACACACATAGTCGTAAAGTATTGTTATGTGATCGCCTCAGATGGTTTCTCGATCGTGAGTACTTCGTTCATGAGCACTTGATCAAGCACAGATGGCTTATTTCACGTCCTGAATCTGGAGGGCGAACTGACATGGCTAAAGAGCAGAATGCTTACTATAAACACTTGCGGGTCTGTCTTGAATTGTTCGTTGGGTGAAGCCGGAACTCTCAAATCGTGAACATAGAAGTCACCGGAGATGAGAACATGGCTGTATCGTTATCGAAGCACCTACCCCAATACTAATGTCAGGCGGAAGTCTATCTCTTGGGTGGACATTGGGGGACGATAAACAACTGCCAAAGGCAGGTGTCGTTGCGCCTTAGTCGCAGACTGCATCAAAGTGAGTACCTGAGCACCGGTTCGCACTACAGATCATTACGGTAGTATAAAAAATAATCCCACAGCCTTTACAGGGGCAATCGGTTCAAATGATGAACATACCAGGTATCTCGACTTCGGCGTCGGTGAGTTCTGAATGCAGCTAAGTGTCCGTTATGAATATGTGGTCCCAGGCGTATGGTGCATGAAGTAACTACAGTTCGGCAAGCTTGCTCAGTAGACCTTGTACATCGGTGAACATGCAGGAAAGTTTCGCTGTTCCTATAAATGTGTCGTGGGATGCGCGTTTTAGGTATGATGTGCCGACCGGAGCAAGATCGGCAACTAATCGTTCTTCGGTTGGGGTGATGACGAACTCATCTGTGTCGGGTTCAGAGACCTCACCATTAAATCTATGCAACTCTCTTTATATGTTGTGTACGGGGGTTTTTGCAAGTTTGCTTGGCCAGCTGAATGAAGTTATCCGAACTGTCAACTAGAGGTGGCCCGAGTAAGTAGTTATTTTCGTGTGGTTGCTTAGGGGAAGCTGCTTTGATCCGGAGCTCGGAAGGAAGGCTGCTCCGGCCTGGAGACCAGCTTTCTAACACCCTATTTGACATTTGTCAGGATTGCAGCACTACTTTCGTAATTATCAGGCCATTTTGTAATTTGGGGTCGCGTTGCCTAGAGACTGATTGCGTTAGGACCTTTTCCAGGAGCAGGGTCTCTCGAATGTATCGCCACTGCTCCTGGTCGTGGGTGGTCGCTTGACGCTGATCATAACCTCCAGCCTCGGGAGCACCGTGTACAAAGATTGTCCTAGACACGGATTCCTTTCGGGGTTCTTTCAAGTCATGCTCCGCCTGTTTGCACTCGCTCCAAGAAGTATCCGGATTGATGCGGATGGAAGAAGACATTCCGAAGGCGCGGTGTGGATAACAGGATAGTTTCTGCTTCACCAGCGGAAGTCAATAAAACGTGGAGAATACTCGGTTCACCGTAGGGCTGTGAGTTTTGGTGGCGCGCGATCCGCGTCAATTTGGCTGGCTTAACTACAACACAAGTGACGTCATATATGGAGTTCCACTGATTCCTATCATCGAGTTGTTTTCCTTTTACGGAATTTGACCTTGACGCTGTAACGTTGGTGCAGACTATCGATGGTACACTATTTGTAGTTCGGATTGATGTCAGCCGCCCGGCTGGTCTGCATACCAACGGTTGAGGCTGTTGAAGCATAACTTCCCCTTCTTCATTTACCTTAGGCCCAATGGGGTAACTCAAGACCTAGGTTTCCGTTTGATTTTGGCCGAAAGCCTGTTCCAACCACGAACAATGTGGGCGTCCATTTGACGTTTTCAAAGAATTTGGAGAATAGTTGAGATCCTGACCGTAGTTATTCCAATTGATCTGGCTGTGGTTGTTTTAGACTTATTTGGTCAGTTGCTGGCGTTGACCTCTCGAGCAACAGGGGACACATTTTTATGCGCTGTAAAGCATTTTTCCGCTGTTTTGCAACGGATGCTAATGGGAAGTGCTAAGGTTTGTTCATTGTCAAAGTTTCCTCAAATAAATCAACTTTGGTTTTCCTCAATCATTGCCGGGAGTCTTTCGTGCTTTTGAGCTAGTTCATGCATGGTC